GCTCAAAGTTGCGATAACCAGCTGGTTGTATGTCAAGCTAGCCACAGCCACCAAAGGTGATGCCTTAGCTGTAGCCAGCAGCAATAAAAACATCATTTAGAATTACGTATATTACCAGATGCTATATTGTCAGACTTCGTGCTGCTGCATAGTCAAATTGTTGTGTGCACCATAAGCAAAGTTGCGTCATCGTCGGACACGGAAAACTATCCCTTATGTAATATCTCTCGTTTATGCAACACTAAACACAGTACACTGTATATTGAGGAGATGGTTGTTGTCATGTAAAGTACTCGACTACATAAAGGTGAGAAAAGGTCGACAAAAAAAAATCCACTCTTTAAGGTCCTCGCCTTGAAAGTTAATGACATCTCGGGCGTTCACTTACTCCCTAATCTGTTATTCCGCTCCGCCAATAATGGAATATAGATATGGCATTAATTGGATCTAAGTAAAATCACTTTGTTGTTACATGAAAGCAAGAGAGCATAGAAATCAATTGAATTCCCTGGCATTAATCCTATAAGTTATTCATTACCTTAATAAGGTATATAACAGTAGAATGAGTTAGTCGAATGAAGAAGAAACAGTAGAGCGAGAAAAAAACACATTCCGCTTTCTGGCGTTTCTTAGAATATCGGTCTTAGAGACATGAAAGAGGTTTAGGTTTAGAAAGAATGGTGTTTTGTTATAATAATACACTTGGGCGTATTTGTGTAACGTTTTTCTGTAAAAAAAAAGCATACGTATAATATATTACAGACAAGCAATAAATAATCATCATTATTACGTATGTGGTTAAACAAGTAAGCTAGTATTTGCAAGAAAATAAAACTGTTTTAAAATAAAACATCTTGAACCTTAAACTCGACGGGAAATGTCAGGAAATCGCGTTTCCGACTGTTTAGTTCTCACAACGATTCCCCCGACAGGCGCTTCATGCACTCTAAACCACCCCACTCCCTCAATTAGACGTTTGCCCCTAAGAATTACTGGGTTGGCTACGGGCCTGTAACGATTCCTCTTCCATTCCAAGCCTTCTATTCAAATCTGTTATTATCATCCTTATGTGCATGTATGAAAGGTAACGATATTGATGATTAAAACTGGCGTGAGTCTAAACTTGTTTCAATCTAAAATAGCTCAAATCGATTCTTATTCCAGTAGCCATTGTATACAAGTCACAGCGAGACACATTGAAACGTTAAAAGTTATTAAACATCTAGAAATATATATCAATAATAATAATTGTGTCTGTCCATACCTGTCACGGATTATAATAATCCCTTACAGATTAAACCAGATTCTCATCTGATATGAAACCATTTATCTTGTTGATAAAACATTCGAAAGTTTTGCAGATGATATGGACGTAAACCTCCATTTATTTCATTTCATTTTCCCGAAATTTTTTGTATGCTTCAAAGCTTTAGTGGAACCAACAACGTTTGATTCAAGAGACAGATTCGCCATTCGTTAAACCAATTGTACTATTGTAACAAAAACAAAAATGGTAATCATTTCACCGCCGAAATCTCAGCCTTCAAATCAATGTGTGTCCAGAATTATTCGCGTTCAAATATTAAAATAACGACTTGAGTCTTATATAGAAAAGTGAAAAATGAAATTCCTAGTTTTAAGATATTTTTGAAGGCATTGTGCATTTGTGTAGTTATGAAGGCGATTCACGTTATATTCAAGACACCGACAATGGCGAATCTTTCCCTTTATAAAACGGATTTCTGTATTTTTGGACGATTTAAGATAACGACTAACTGTATTGTTTTTATTCTATTTTATAACGGAACGGTTTGAAAATAGATTAAACTTATCGGTATCAAAATCATCTATCTTGTCACCTCTGTCATATTTTAGTTAACCTACGTCAGTGAGTTATTTCAATACATTATATTGCGTTATACAATTATACTAGCCAATAGTGCGATTTGCTATGATTAACAGGTACTGTTTGTATTATAAACATTATTAATTATTATATACTTATAATTATATCTTAGGTTACAGATTATTTCTTATACAAGAGATAAAGCTTACACAAACTAATGACGAGATAGTCAAGATAAAGAGAAAGCTGATTTTCAAATATTCCTCATTACAATCTTCATGAATTTGCAGATTACAGATTCACAAAAGTAACACGTCTATCTTTCTGTATGTTTGTTTCGTATTTTCTTGATGGTATTGAAGATGCGGAGTTTATTGAAATTCGCCTAGAATGAAAAGAGCGAAACCACATGTCACAAAAAACATTTGTATGACAAAGCGTCAATACAGGAATGCAAAAAAATGTTAGTTGTGGACTCTCGCATAGTGCAGAGAGACTGAAAAGTGAAGACCAATACCACCCCCAGCTCCCATTACCACCACCCTATTTCTCATTTTTGAAATCAAAAGAAGCGTATAGCAAGCAAACATTACTTTCAGGCTTATACGACAAACAAGAACAAGGTGTGAAATTTATTACAAGTCGTTTTATAAAATGATTGGTTCTGTTGGTTATTTCGTTAGTACCGAGTGAAGAAAATATAAAAAAATTATACCAAAGTTATACTAAAATGAACTTTACAGCGGTTTATCATTTTCAAGCCCAGTACTTAAACCGTGACATTTAATTAAGATCCCTCTTCCCAACCTCTTGGAAAATAAAGTTAATATTTATTCAAACATAACTCGGCACTAAACGGTATGTCTGGTGAGTACTTATCAACACCTCAATCCATTTAAAAAAAATTTTAATTTTTATCTCCACCAAACATTCATCTTCATGGGGCAGATGCAGCATTTTTGAGGGTTGATTATAGTCTAGAATATATGTAAATAGTCTTTAGAAGTACTAGAAATGTACAAAAATCGCATAATTCCTTTAATAATACTTCAAAATATGAATTTTACTCAGTATTCCTATATATGTCTTTTCTACATATTGTTGTCATTTTACCATTCAAACACAGTAAATTCTGGACACACGTGGATTTGAAGGCTCAAATTTCGACGGTAAGCTGTGAACACTATTACTGATTTGCTCAGCTAAAAAACCGTTTCTGTGAATAAGGTATGATAGGTAAAAAAAAAACCCATCTACCCGTTTAATATCTGATCTTGCCCCAATGCAGGTTGTGCACGTTAAAAAGAGAAAAGAAAAAAATATAGTATTTTTAGCTAATGACGATATGTTCAGAATGTTTTGTTTCCAGCGATCTTGCGACATGTTCACACAACAGAATTGTATTTTTTAATAAGCAAGACAGAAAAATAACGTGCCTCGTGACAAAGGAATATGATTTATTCAACCAAAAACCTTCACAAAACGTCTATACAGAACAGAAACATCCTTATTCAATAGGCAGACAGAAAATAACATACCTTACGACAAATGGAAAAATGTTTTATTCAGAGTTAAAATCCTCACAATAAGCCTACATATCCGAAAAGTCTTCCTTAAAAAGACAATAGAACAATAACATGCCTCAAGACAAAGGAAATTGACATATTCTGAGTCTTTGAGTAAAAATCAAATTTCCAGATCGGAGGAGAACAGATTCAGACTCGTCGGATTAACTGATAAAAAATATATTTTTTGCCTGACTTAACTGAATGAAAAAATGTTGCCATATTCGCTATTGTAAAAGACACGCATTACCATTTTTTCAGTCTTACATCTCATTTTTTAATGTAGCAATAGTTAAGTATAAAACATGGTTGGCAAAACCGGCGAAAATAAACTCAGTGGTATCAGATGATCCAGAAGCATGAGTAAGTCCTGCATTGTAAGCAACACCTACACAGACTTTGATCAAAGATCAATATGCTGTTAATTTTACATTGATGATGCAGTTTTAGGTGTAAGTCAAGTAGAGATAGGTTGTCTAAAATAACACAAGCAAGTGTTGTGTACGCTTGTTTCACTTAGTTGTCACTCAATATATATCTACATGTATATGGGTTTTGAGGCAATATTTTATGTATTTAATGTATTGCATGCATTTAGTGATAAGAAATCACAAATTATCTTTCTTTTTCCAAAACTTTCTTTTAGTACGTGTCGACAGAAGAGAAACATATACCATTAAATTCAAGTATCCAATTCAAAGCGATACGTCCACGATACGAAATAAAATACATTTAAACGCGAGGTAAATGTAGATGTTTAATACAAGTGAGATGTCAGTTTTCTCCTTAATTGTCTTCTCTCAGGTAATGGAAATTAGTATCAACTTGCCATTCGAGTTCTAATAAGGGACTGTACAATCAAAGGTGTATCATTACTGAACATGTTGGCTACTCCCAACTGTGTCGCATAAAATAACTGAAGGGACATCGAACCGTATGTTCATGTGATCGCCCAGGATAAGTAGCCATGTGGTGTTTGCTAATGCCCCAGGTGGTGCTATGCCCGAGGTCGGGTACCATTGTCTTCAATAATCATGGTTCGTTGGACCTTCTGGTATGAACATTGTGTTCATAAAAATATTCAGTACGCTACCTTGATAATATTATAACAGACACCCAGGCCCGTAGCCAGACTTGATTGTTCGTAGGGGCAAGTAATATATGGGGAAATGGTGAATGGTGTTTAGTTGGGTATCCATTTAAAACGGTAACATGTCAAAACGGTAACAAATTTTAATAGTCAAAACGGTAATAGAATTTGTCGGTTGTCAGAATTTTATGGGGGCATTGTAGCTATGGACCTGCAGTCACCAACCCCTAGAGATAGCAACTTATGGTTAAATAGTTACAATGTGATAAATACATCACTCGGGAAGGGTTCCTTTGAAGTTTCCGAAGTGTGAAGAACTATAAGTGCAATTGCTATTTCTACAGACTTTTTAAGTACCTACACAACGTAGACGCCGTAATTCTAAATATTTTTAATAGTATAATTAGACTCTTTGATGAAGATAAAAATAGAAATCTACCTACATGAGATCTTTCTAGGTTAGCAACAATTAAAGTTTGAAAACAAGAAATAGTCTTACCTTGCAAAAAGATAAATAACAGTAGAATTCCCGGCTGTTCCAATAAAAAATACTACAATCATCGAAATAGCTGCTATAATACTGGCAAATTCATCTATGGGAGGCCACTTCCGCCAGTGGGGGTGCCAGAAAGCTCCCCCTGTAACATTCGTATCGTCATAATCCCCATGGTTCAACCAAAAAGAATGGTACAAAGTTATATCCTTATTGGAATGTTCGTTGTAGGAAATATTCCCCTCCATTTTAAGAAAAGGGGTTTATGATTTGTAAACACATGATTTCATTCCGCGATTCGTTGGCCATTTTTCAGTGTAAGTGTAACTGCATGGTCAGTCAGAAGGTAACAATCAATGATAATACCAATCAATAGCTTATATAACTCTACAAACTAAATCCCTACCAGCTGGGTATTATAAATCATCTAGTTAGAAAAAATAGCGATTAATGTGTTCATGCCTTTTGTTAGGCAATATTCTTAGAAAATTGATTTCACTAGAACGAATTTGATTTTTCAAAAGTCTCTTGAAGTTGAAGTAGAATTATCCATTAAGCTATTCCTTCGTCGTTTGCAAACTATGCTAAGTTAGCATGTTGAACTTTGTGTTGTAACAACTGGTAACACATTCATAAAAATTAACATCAAGGAAGCACTACGTTAGTACGAATTGGTAACAGATAAGTCGAAATAGTACCTTAAACGTTCAACAAGGCTGTAATGAATTAATCACACGCCTTTAATTTACATCAAAATAATGGCCAATTACGCTATAGCGAGTTGGTCAGGTAAATGCTGAAATTGCACCTGGAAAGTTTATTTATAATGCTGTTGGTAAGAATTCCTGATATAGAATAAAAAAAAAGTGTTCCATTAAGCAAGAGCTTATTGATTACTAATACTGAAAATAGCACCCGGATGTTCTGTGAATAAACATGTTATTCAATATTCCTATTTCAACCATAAACAACCCATAAACAGTTAACAAGTCTTTTATGACCTTATCATCTAAAATATCTCCAGGCAATTTGTTTATTTCACTTAACTCAACAGGTTCTTATGCAAGATTCTAAAAAGCGAATAAGACAATAATTTCACACAGTTTTTACAGATCAATGGCAAGTCATTTACAATAATATTCCAATTTATCATAAAACTGATATAACCAAATTGGTTCATAATTTAGTTCCAAATCTCTCAAGCGAGGCAAGCAAATAACAAAATAACAAATTGATGGCAAATAACTTCAAATTTATCACAAAACAGACATAACAGAATTCCAATCGTATTTACTGTAATGAAACATGCAGGAAGATTCACTGATAAGTTTCCTTCAATCAGAAATACCAGTAATTCCCCTCGTTCTAGCCTCTTGCTTATAGTAATAACGTATTATCTCTGAAGTCACTTCCAATAAAACATCTGAAACAATACCCAGTACAAACCTGGTCAATGCGTCCGATACTTGTATTTTTATGTAACGAATTTATAACTTTTTAGATAGAAAGTATCGAATCAAGATCTTGATACAGTTTGACGACTCTACATGTTCATTAAATTACACTTTTACAAATTTGTCAGAAGTTTATTTTTGCACTAATAATTAATTGGAATTAAACGGTATCCGGAAAATTAAAAAGAAATAATTTGAATCCGGGAGTTTTCCGAGCACTACTTCCTATTCCATATCCATTTAAAATATCCTGTTTGACGCCTTTGACTCTTCAGTATATGACGAATGAACAATCAAAAAGTTTACATCTGCACTTCAAATCATAAGAAATAACTTGTTCACAGAGTCTGGTGGTGTTTAGCTCAAAACTTCCTATTCCATATCCATTAACTGACGTTAAAACATCAATAATAGGGTCAAAATGTTAATTCAAATCGGATTGCTAAATTACCCTGGTTATCATTTCGCTGATCATTTAATAATAAAAACCAATAGCAATGCGCCATAAATTCGCTCAACATATAGAATAGACCACGCTAATAGACGCTGTTAGGAATGAAGGCTGAATGAAGAATAATATAGATTGATCTCGTGGTTAGTTGACAGAAGAAGAAAACTCTGTTGTATTAAAGGTATATCTTTCTTAAGCATGGACGTTGCTGCCATGGGATAGATTTTTGGACATGTTCATATCACTTTCTTGAAGATTTCAGAACTGTAAAATATCGATCACTGTGGGGTAAATTCTAGGGGTGTTCCACTGTTGTCTTCTTGTGTGTCACTGTGTCATGTATAACATCCGTTATCATTTATCTCCGAGTTACATTCCATAACATATGGTTCGCTGTAGTACTATTGCCTGTTTATAGAAACACTAGGCACCGTCTGGATTATCATCAGTTGTGACTATGGGATATATTCCAGATAGCTTTCAACTGCTGTACTATCGATTAATTTCTATTTCACTAAAAGATGAGACAGGTTTGAGAGTAAAGACTTTATTAAAAATGTAAAAAATGGATACCTCTTAATGCTAAAATCAAGCATACATAAAATATCAATGATTAAGGGGTTATCCAACAATTACGTGTCCAGCACAGTCTACTGTTGTATTATTGTATCTTTATAGAACTTCAAGCATTGGTAAAACTATCGCTTGATTGATAATGTAGCAACGTTTCCCCTTTGTGATGCTAAAGATAAACTTAAACTAAACCAAACTTTCGTTCTGTTATTTATTAGCTTTTATTTTTGATATAGCCACTTCAGTTAGGGTGTACAGACATTCGTATTTACGGCGGCCATTGTTTGACAATGACCTTGTATGCAGTTGGAAGAAAATCTTCTTTAATTGTTAGCTGAAAGTTGCATCCGCGTTACAAAAAATAGTTCGTCATATGTTAGTTATCTGCCTTGAAGACAATCTTCGACGAAGACAGAAGTCTGAGTGTCAGAGTGTCTGAGTCAGATGTCAACGACGGAGACGAAAATTGAGCTATTGTCACATGACCTAATATTTTAAAAGAAGTCCGATTTATTCGCCAGCTTATGACCGACTTATTTACGATTAGGTTTAAAGACGGGCTTCTTAAACATTCGTGAAAATGATCTTTTGACCTTTTGCTTAACCAATCAAATTTCTACCTTCTCCAGCACTGGTATTTTGTGAAAGTGTGAAGGAATTTGATTGATTAAAGAAGATGTCATCAGATTAGGTCAAAAGGTTATTTTGACAAATGTTTAAGTGGCCAGTCTTTAGACCCTAACTGAATTGGCTATATCAAAAATAAAAACTTATTAAAAACGGAACGAAAGTTTGGTTTAATTTTAATTAGACTGAATATTATTAATAGTAAAAACTTGCCTGTGATAAATTTATACCCAAACATGTTTCTTATATTTAGTTTGTTTGTCCTCTTTATAGACAGTAACTCCAAAATCTGAGTTTATATGTCGAGTTGTTCCTGCAATAAATAAACTTAACTTTTTAATTCTGATATTCAATAATTTCACTCTAATTTCACGCTGATTGAAGTTCAGTCGGGCCGCCATTATAATTACCTCGCAATCGATTTTAACTTCTATGTTTTTTTTTTATGTTGAACTATTTCTGAACAAGTTCTTTCCGCTAAGAGTGTACATTCTATATTATTATATCATTTTAAGATATTTTCACAACCAGCTTAAATGTATACTATCTCTTTACTAAAAAAAATTGAAATTTTTTAACTTGCCGAAAATGAGTCTTTGTTTGTAAGTGGACTTATCTGATGTCAAACCTATACAACAGAATCCCTCTATAATCTAATACATCTACGAAACTAAGGTAATTATCCATTTAACTAAGTAATTTGAAACACGCTTAGGAGCGTTACTAAGTTTAACGAATATAATGTAGAGATTCCATTCATTAATCATGACATCTGTTTTGACCAAATTTGAGACTGAATTTTAAGTCCATTCTAGGAGGTAGTATTCCTTTAAAGAGACACGAATATAAAAATTCCTACTCCTTGATGGAAGTTCGTCGTTTCTCCAATCATATTCATAACAGTAGCTTATATTCCCTGGCGATAGTTACTCAGGTTAATTCAAATTTAATATTCCTCGATATGACAACAACATTGGGAATAGTTTTAAATGTTTCTGTGTTATGATAACAGCAATATTCAATACTTTAATGTCCCTGTTTATAGCCTTTTTAATCCGCCGTTAACTTCTCTATCATTTTAACGATTTACACTGGCATTTAGTGCTGAAACAATAGTTGATATCCATAACACGCTTATCGCCTTACTGTTCAAGACTCGGAGCAACTTGAAACTTGTCAACCAAATACATACTGGTGTCGTTAAAGGGTATTCTACAAAATAAGCGTAGAGTGACTAATACAGTTACAGAATAACTCAACCAAAAGCAACAATAAATACACTTTAACAAGTATTGCCTACTTTAGCTTACCAACTCCAGATACCTGCAAAATTTCGTCCCATTTTAAAGTCCCATTTACGAAAGTCAGAAATTTTTAACTTCAGGTAACCTAGTAATTTTAATAATAGTGATTGTTACTAATGAATGTGTCTCGCCAAATGTTAAAAAAGTGTTATAAGTTTCCAGACGTTAATGGCGTTAATGGTTACTCGCTGTGAGACAAATCGGTGGAGATATCTTAACGCAGACTTTGTAGTTGACCGTAACGCGTATATTTTGTTTGTCGAATCTTAAACTGAATTGTGTATTATTCTGATATGGAATACATACATATGATATTACGTTTTATGACCAATGTTACCATACCATTTGTTCCAGTGGTTACACCTTACATAAGAGAGAAAACCTTTGCTCTATATAAGAGATACATGAGCTGTTCTACAGATAAAAATATGAAATCAAGTAATTTAGATGTTTTGGTATGTCTCTTATTATATGATCAAATGTAGGGATGTCATTGACCTCAATACTTTAAATTGTGAAAGGTAGACTCGACAACATTTAAGGAGTCTATGCCAGTTCCTTAAGCGGGTTGCAAAGAATTTGACTAGCTTTTTAATGTGTATGAGAGCAATAACGGCTTCTATATTTATATCATTCTATTTATTCATAATATGTCTGTGGTTTCTGTAATTATGATATAAACCATATATGACGTCAAAATCGGAAAAGCTGCTAATGATATCTAATGGCTTTGATGGAATTACAAGAACCAGAATAGATATGGTGCAAATTCATGTCATCATTGTCTCCATATGCAAGTCTGGTCGGCATCTTTTTCTGCCCCGCCCTACGTCCGTTAA